TACCTTCATTCCCTCATTCATGTGCGAATGCTGACTGACCAGGGACCCCCTGCCATGCATGACTCCAGGTTCTGGATACCTGCTGGGCACCAGAACTATTCTGGTCCTTGTCCTCTTGGAGCTTACATTAGAGTCACAGGAGGCTCCTTTCCTGACCACCTTCCCTAAAATCCCCATGCCCCCCCACTCCCTACCTATAATCAATTTCTTTGCCCTTTTCTTGTTCACGGCTCCCTGAAATTATTTTCGTGAGCTATTTATTTACTTGTTTACTATGTCTCCCTCATTAGAATGTAAGCTCCTTAGCAGCAGGCACTTTTACTGCGGGTCACTCACCTCGAAGAGGGAGCCAGAGCAGTACCTATTTATTAAATGAATAAATACAGACAAGTTATACATGTTGAACAAAGAATAAAAACAAGAAAAGCATATAAAATTCCTATGTGGAATCTCCCTCAGCTCAAAAATGTTGCTCACCAGCTGTTTAATGAACCTGTAGTTCCATGGAAACCTGCCCATTGACAAGGCCTCTCATGAAGTAAAGAGGTGACATTTGACACCACGGTGGCCTGTCATGTCCACGTGGGAAAGGGGGTCACGGGTGGGTGGGCGAGTGAGCAAATATCTGCCCCCTTTGAGCACCTGCCTGGCCAGGAATGGAGTGTCAGTGAGCTGCAGGCACACCCTCTGTGTGGGCCACTGAGGCCAGGTGAGCAAGGCTGCCGGGGTTCTTGTTCCGGCATTAAGAAGGGTTCAGCAATCTGGAGAAGGGCTGTGTGTAACTTAATAAAAGAGTCCAGAGAGGAAACATAATTTTGAAAGGCATTTGGGGGTCAGAGGAGCCTAGCTAAAGAAACTAAGATCTCCTTGTCTCAGGACCCCATGTTTTTTATTACACAAATTGTCCTGAGGCGAGGCAGGATTCAAAGGGTCAGGTTTCATATACAGAAACATTGTCAGAATGAGGAAAATGCCTAATGCTGTTCAGGTGTTTGGCCAGTAGGAGGCAATAATATGTAGATTAAGATACCCTGAGCTGTCTGGCAGCCAAGCAATCATCCCTTTTCAGGTTTGGGGAAATGCCTTCAGCCATTCCAGATGATTCAGTCCTCGCTGACATGCTGGAATTGGCTTCCAGCACAAGGCCAGTTTTGGAGGTGGTGGTAGGAGAAGTGTCCTTGAGATTTCAAAGTACTCCTGTCTTTGGCAGAGGTTGAGAAATGTTGGGTAATATAACAACGTTGCGGATTATCGTCTTGAGTAAAAACTAAAGGGACAACAGACCAACTGGTCTTTGCCTCTTCCTGTTCGGCCACTGTGTACTCACTGCCCAGAGAAGCGTCCTCCCTGAGTCTGGGAAGGTTCTAAAACAACCCAAGAGAAGAAAGATCCTGAAGAACTGGCTTAGGAACAGCTGTGGGGCTACCCCACTGAGCATTAAACTATTTTTATTCTGGATGAAAGTCTTCCTAGAAGCTAGTATATACATATTTTACTTTTTCAATATGTTAACTGCTTTCTTTTCTTCTAAAAGATGCTGTAACAAACTCAGTAATGCTTTCTGAGGCATTAAGGATGTTGTCAGAGAGCTTGGGTTCAGAGCCTGGCACTACCCCTCACCAGCTGGCGAGTTAACACTCTGTGCCTCGGCTTCTTTATAAATAGGGATAATAGATAATATTAGCACCTGCCTCAGATGGTTCTTGTAAGGATTAAATGAATTAATACATGTAATGGATGTAGCACTCTGCGTGGTGTGTAGTATTGCTTGGAAAATGTTAGCTACTGCTGCTGCAACTACTATTACTGCTATTATAGCAATATTTTTTTCTGGGTACCTTGTGCTCATTATAAATAACTTACTATAACATGCTACAACCCAGAGATACCTTTTTAAAGGCACAGTTACTGTCTCTCACATGACACAGTCCTGGACTGACTCACTGCAATGTTCTAACATGCTGTTTTATAGTTTCCTATTTTCCCTTGTAAGGTCTCTGATTTTTTACTTCTACTATCGTCAGTCATTTCTTCTATCTCTGTCAGCCTCTTTCCATGCTTCCTTTTTTACAAGGGGGCATACAAACAGTAAACCAGGTTTGTTAGACCTGTGTGTTAGTAAGAGCTGTATGTTCTAAACTAGGTTGGCAAAGCTCTCCGAGGAACAGAAGTAACCTCACTCCACAGACATCTCTCTTGGCTCTTCAGGGGTGTTTTATTTCCCGATTAGACAAATATAAAAAGTCATATAAAATTAAGTCTCTGGTGAGACAGATATAACTATGGTTATATATACATGTTAAAATTAAAAAGCCTCTAATTAGTTCAAATAAATGATCATTAACTCTTTCTAGAGCTAAATACTGGGGGAACAAAAATGAATGATATAGTCCTGAACCCCATGAAATTTGCAATCTAGAGGGGAGATAGAGCATAAACAAACACTGTCAAGCTAATACAGCAAGAGACAGTCAGGCTTTGTACACTGGGTGCTATGGGTGCCTAGAGAAGGGCCCTAGGTGACCCTGGGGTGCAGGGCAGCTTCCTGAGGAGGAGGTGCTGAGCTGAGACTTGGCAGCCCGGTGAGCAGAGGTTGAAGGGGCTGTTCCAAGCCTGGGAACTGAGGCGGGAACCAGGTAGGAAGCAGCGTGGTGCTTCTGTGAGAGTAGGTGTGTGTGTGTGTGTGCACGTGTGTGTGATTAATAGTTTGATATTGATATGATAAGAAAATGCCCTCATGTGCCATGCCAAGAGGCTTGGATATTACTTATGAAGAGATGAGGAGCCATTAAGACACCTCTAAGGAAAAAATAGCCATTTTCCTTTTAGATGTGTAAAAGGAAAGCATTGTGAAAGCTAGAGCAAGGCAAGGAAAGACTGGGAGAAGAGAGGCCAATGGGGTGTCTGGAGCAGTTAATGAGCAACAGAGACAGCAAAGCCCCGAGGAGGACAAACAGCAGTGTAGTGAGGAAGCCAGGGGTCCCGCGTGTATTTTGAAGATAAAAGTGGACGTTTCTGGTAAATTACCCAATGAGGGGTCCAAGACTGAGAGGACGACTGCCGGGCTTTCGGCTTGAATTAGTGGTTGGATGAGAGGACAATTAACTGAGAGAGAAACAGCAGTTCTTTGTTTTGTTTTAAAATTTAATTTTGTTTTTCTCTTTTGAATAGCGGGCATAGGAAGATAAAATAATGAGTTCAGGTTCAGACATGTTAAGTTTGAGTTAATTATTATAGAGGTCAGAACTGAAGATATAAATGTTAGAGTAATTAACAAATAGAGCCAAGAGAGCAGATCAGAAGGCCCTGAAACCGTGTGAAAGGAGGGCAGCAGAACCAGGTGGGGTGGGCCCAGAGGACACCAGTGCTGAAGGGGGTGCAGGACGGTGGCCATGAGCGGACCGGGGACACACACGGAGAGGTGCAGAGAACAGTGAGTTGTACATGGAGTGGGCAATAAAGAAGCTAAACACACTGGTAACAGCTGCATTTTCTGAGGACTCACTACATATGCATCAGGCACTGTGCTGTGTTATACCTTGTACCATCTATTATCCATACACCCTAGATCAGTGGTCGGCAAACTCATTAGTCAACAGAGCCAAATATCAACAGTACAACTGAAATTTCTTTTGAGAGCCAAATTTTTTAAACTTAAACTATATAGGTAGGTACATTGTTATTAACTTAATTAGGGTACTCCTAAGCTGGGCTTTGCTAAAAACATCCTCAATCTGACTGAGGTACGTTTGCTGAGGTCGACCACTTCCAACTCTCCCATCCACACTCGTCTGGTATACTTGTTTTGTCTATCTCCTTTCGTTCATCCTCTCTATATGTCCAAACCATCTCAACATACCTTTCTCAATCCTCGACACTACATCTTCTTTCACTCCACAACGTTCCCTAAAATTAACTTAATAAACTTTACTTAAAGTTTTAAGTCAACTTCGCACTGTACGTGCGCACCCGCACGTGGTATTTTGTGGAAGAGCCACACTCAAGGGGCCAAAGAGCCGGATATGGCTCGTGAGCCGCGGTTTGCCGACCACTGCTCTAGATGATGAATCTGAAGTTCAGCGGTCATGTCACTTACCCAAGGTCACAGGGTGAGCTGGCAGAACTGGGATCTGAACCCAGGTCAGATGGATTACAAAGCCCATGTTCTTAACTTGGAGCAAAAGACCTCCTTCAAGATGCAGCTTAATATTATCATAATGAGGACTGCTGTATATTGCTTTTCAAGAAGCGTAACTTAAAAACTACTTAATCTCTCAAATAAATATTTAATACGTAATGAGGTCATTATACAGTTGATCATTTTGTATAATGAAAATAGATTATTTCAGTGATATATTTCTTTATAATCTTTTTATTTCGAAAACACTATACTTATCAAATTGTGAGGACATGCCCTGACCGGTTTGCTTTGGTGGATAGAGCGTTGGCCTGCAGACTGAAGGGTCCTGGGTTCAATTCCAGTCAAGGGCATATAACTTGGTTGCGGGCACATCCCCAGTGGGAGGTGTGCGGGAGGCAGCTGATCGATGTTTCTCTCTCATTGATGTTTCTAACTCTCTATCCCTCTCCCTTCCTCTCTGTAAAAAATCAATAAATATATTTTTAAAAAATTGTGAGGACAATAAAGTGCAATACAAGGCAACTTCTCATTAGGGCCCTGCTCCAGTAAAGCAAAGGGGAGCTCCTGGGTGGACTAGCCATGTTCTTCAGAGAAAAACTCAGTGCCCTGGGCTTAGACACCTGTCTGCTGAGTTTCCCCACAAATATTACCTCTGGTCTCAAGGAAGACCAGAAAGGGTATCACAGTGTGCGCAAACCTGCTACAAACATGGAAAAGCTCATTAAAAGTGGTATCCTGTAGAATGTATGCTTTAGATGATAATTATCTATTTAAAGATAGAGAATAAGAAAGTCATTCCTATTATAAAAGTTGTAATCTTTCTATTTCCCACTAGAGGAAGCAACAGCATTACTCTTACCATTTGGTGGGTAAAAGACAGCATATTCTTCTATTCCTAGTTTTCCTAGAAGAGAAAGCCATAGAGGGTTTCAGTCTGATTAAATAAACAAAACAAAAAATTAACTCACTTTGTGAATGTACTAATAATTAGTGGAATTTTAAAAAACTACAACAGTAACACTGACAATAGGGTGGTGAAGGCCTGGGGTGGGGAGTAGAGGTGGGCTAGAAGGGGCCAATGGGGAAAAAAGAGGGACATATGTAATACTTTCAACTATAAAGATTAAAAAAATAAAACTACAATAGTAAAATCTCATTTCATTTTATGGTATGAAATTAATTTGAAAATATGCCAGTCAACCTGTTGAAATTAGCAAATCCTTTCATCAATTGAAATCAACAGTATAAACTTAAGTACAAGGCAAGCGATACAAAATAATTAAAAGAACAAATGCTTTCAAGCTTCTTGAGCTTAGAATTGTTTTTGCTAACTAGAAACAACTCTAATCTATTCATTAAAGCAAGTCTTAAACTTTGCAACGCCTCATTAGTTTACATTTTTATATAATGTGTTGAAAAGTTAAAAATTAAATGTCTTTAACTATACAGTGGTAATACTTTCTGAATCCCAAAACAGTTAATATGTTCCAAGGCTAAATATTTGAAATCAAAATTGTCTCAAAATATTGAAGTATACTCATCATATTCAAATGTTTAAAAGAGTCTTTAAAAATAGCTTTTCCTCAAAACTTTTAAGGTTCTGAGTTTTCCCCCACCTTCTGAATATCTTTAGGAAGTTTTTATGTTTATATTGATAGTTTTTCTAACACTTTGAGTCTATGGAAAAGTCACATGCAATCTTGCTCTAAACTTTAAGGTAATATTTTTAAATTAATTCTAAAAAAAATTTTTGTTCTTGTTGGGGGTGGTGGCAAAGAGAAAATGAAGATTAAGAACCATGACTAGTTTAAGTTAAGGTGGAGACAACAGGACTGATCATGTGTGTAAGGAGAGAATGGAATAAGGAAAAATAGATGATTGATAGATAAGAAAGAAAGAAAAGACCACCTGGTGGATGCTCAATACTGGGCTAGATATCAAGAGAAACAAAATAAATATAAGGCCAGTCCCTCAATCATGTGGCTTATAATACAGACTGGAATATGAAACACTGAGGATATGTTTGCTAAATTTTCTGGCACAGGCTTTAAGTGTTTTAGAGGTTGAGAAGAGAGAGAAATTGATGATGGATTGCTGGCTCAGTGGGATATAGGCTAGTTCTTCAAGGACATATGATTTTGGGGGAGGAACAGTGGAAATCCTTCCAGATGAGGGGAGCATCTGGAATATGGGGTAATGTGGGGTAATCAGGAAAGCAAAATTAGCTAGGTTAAGACAGGAGCAACTGATGGATGGCCTTAAAACTTGGCTGAGTTAAGAGGTGATTCCATTAGACCATTAAGTTGTAGAATCAGGTTTTTAGCAAATAATGTTAAAGAAACAAGCAAACAAAAGGCTTCTATAAGTTCAAGGTAGGAGCAATGGAACAGAGAGAGCCCCCAACTTGGGTGGGGTAGCCTGATCCCAGCATGTGATGGGGCTTGTCCTAGGGCAGGGGTTGAAGGAATCAGGCAGACACTCAGAGTTAGTAGATACAGGAGAAACCGTTTCTTTATGGGGACAGCACAGGGACCACACAATAACTTTTAAGTGCTGGGTGTTCACCACTTAACAAAAGTTAAGTGGTGAACTTAACTGAGGCATTAAGTTCAGTTGTCAGGTGATGCAGGATTTTGAAATAGTGATACTATCTTGTAGGCAGCTAGTGATTAAGAGGAGAAAAAAGCACTAAGAATTACTAGCATACAACTTATATCAAAATTTTAAGTGTTGTAGAACATTTTGAGAGAAGAAATATAGAAAATTAAAAAAATTAGAAAAGCAAATTCATGTGATAAACTTATAAAAGGGAAAATAGAAGTCAACAGGTAAGACAAAAACAGCAATAGAGAGAGCAATGATAATGTGTTAAAAAATATGTCCTTGCCCTGGCCAGTGTGGCTCAGTTGGTTGGAGTGTCATCCCATACACTGAAAGGTGGCAGGTTTGACTCTGGTCAGGGCACATACCCAGGTTGCAGGTTTGATCCCTGGTTGGGGTGTATGTGGGAGGCAACAGATCAATGTCTATCAAAAAACAAAATAAAATAAAACCATTAAAAATACTTCCTTTATGTTACTACGATTTTACCTCTTATGTATGATCTTGGTGGTGAAGCACTGTTGTATGCAAAGTGACCCAACACAGACGTATCCCGGGAAAAACAAAGTAAAACCTGGGTATAACAATGGATAAAACAGACAATTAAGCACTGTTTAATTTCTCGCTATTTCCTGGTTGGGAGGCACTGAGGTAGAGTCTTTCAAGTTCAGTACCATGCTTAGCAATGGGAGGAGTGCCCTCTATTGGTATATCCTCGGTAAGTGCAGCCAAAAATGCAAGTTGCTGACTACCAGTTGATTCTTTTATTGTATTTTGTAGCTGCAAATAGAAAAACCTGGGGAAAAATTAACATGAGAAGTGTATGAGAACCTAAGGAACTGCAGTGACATAGAGCAGCTTGGGAAGTGCAGGAAACTGGGATTGCTGGGATGCAGCAGCGGGCGGCTGGCATGTCAGGGTGGGAGGGAAGGCAACTCAAGATATTTAGAAGGGATGGCAGGTGCAGTGGAACAAGAGGCAGCCCAATGCATGTTAGAAGCTGACCATCCTACCAGCAGGTAGAGGGTGGGAGTATACCTGAATCAAGAATGTCTATTGGGAGGGACCAGGTTGCTGACACCAGCCTGGGATTTGGGGGCAGAGGGCCAATCTTCAGGAAGGCAATTAGTGACAGGAAATCTGGGTCTTGGTATTAGAAGACCTGGGGTTCAAGATGTTACTAAGAAAATAAGTTGGAAATGACTGGAAAAGTCAAGGCCAGTTCACAGAACAGGGACACAGAGTCAGGGCTGGACCAGAGCAGGAGTGAGTAAACAGGGGAACTATGGGTTCAAGATACAAGAAAAGGGTCAGCTTTAGAAAAATGATAAATATGAAGATTGCGCAGCAGTCAGGCCTAAGGGTGAAATGTGTACCAACCATTGCCACTGATTAATTTTATTATATTTTAAAATACTAAGAAATATAGATAATCAAAATAGGAAAAGCACTGATAATCCAAGCATTGTTAATATTTTTATGTATATTCTTTCAGACTCTTTTTATACACACATATAAAATTTTCAAAAATAGGATTATAATACTGTTCTAGAACCTATTTTCTATCCATACTATAAAATAAATATTTCCTACCCATATTTTAATGTGCATAATATTCCACTATATGGATGAACAAGTTTAACTTAACCTATCTTTTTTATTGATCATTTAATTATCTCCAGTTTCCCCACATTATAAACAATGTCACAGTGAACTTCCTTATATCTAAACTAGAGGCCCGGTGCACAAAAATTTGTGCACTCAGGGCGGTCCCTCAGCCCGGCCTGTGCCCTCTCGCAGTCTGGGACCCCTCGGGGGATGTCCACCTGCTGGCTTAGGCCCACTCCCCGGGTGATTGGGCCTAAGCTAGCAGTCAGACATCCCTCTGGCAGCCCGGGAGCCCTTGGGGGATGTCCACTTGCCAGTAGGGAGCAGGCCTAAGCTGCAGTCAGACATCCTTAGTGCTGCTGAGGAGGCGGAAGAGGCTCCCGCCATCACTGCTGTGCTGGCAGCCGTCAGCCTGGCTTATGGCTGTGGGAGCGCACTGACCACCAGAGGGCAGCTCCTGCATTGAGCGCCTACCCCCCGGTGGTCAGTGTGTGTCATAGTGACCAGTCATTCCCAGTCGTTCTGCTGTTAGGGTCAATTTGCATATTACCCTTTTATTATATAGGATACTTATGTACACCTTTACTTAAACTCCTAAACCCGGACTAGATGTCTTGTCAAGTGATGGACATTTTAAATCTAAAGTTTTTGATACACATTGCCATATTGCCCTCCAGAAACCAACAGCAAGATAATACACATTTTCTTTTATTCTCATCAAAATGGGTTATCATCATCTTATAGGTAAAAAATGGCCTCCTGCTTTAATTACACTCTTCCATTTACATTTCTTTTATTTTACAACTAGAGGCCCGGTGCACAAAATTCATGCACGGGGGGGCAGGGGGGTGGTGGGGGGGCATCCCCTCAGTCCAGCCTGCAACCTCTCCAATCCAGGATCCCTTGGGGGATGTCTGACTGCTGGTTTATGTCCGATCCCCGTGTCCAACTGCCGGTTTAGGCCCAATCTCCAGGATTGGGCCTAAACCGGCAGTTGGACATCCCTCTCACAATCCTGAACTACTGGCTCCTAATCGCTCACCTGCCTGCCTGCCTGGTCACCCCTAACTGCCACCCCCCACCCCCGGCCTGATCACTCCTCACTGCCTCTGCGTGCTGGCCTAGTCGCCCCTAACTGCCCCCCCACTGGCCTGGTCACCCTTTACTGCCCCCTCTGCTGGCCTTGTTGCCCTCAACTGTCCCCCACTGCTGGCCTGGTCACCCCCAACTACCCTCTCTGCCGGTCTAGTTGCCCCTCATTGCCCCCCCTGCCAGCCTAATTGCCCAAATTGCCCCCCCCTGCTGGCCTGGCCACCCCCAACTGCACCACCCCCACCGGCCTGGTTGCCGCAAACTGCCCACCCCCCCCGCAGGCCTAATGCGTTTAACTGCTAACCCTGCTGGCTTGGTTTTCTTAACTGCCCCGCCCCCGGCCCACATTCGGAGGGTACACAAAAAAAAATTTTGTTTTCCAAGAGTCATGTCCCAACTATCCCCCGGGGGCGTCGGACATG